CAAGAGAAATAGATTATTATGTAATACTAATTTGTTATTTGTACTGTAAGGTTCTTATTAAGAGACAGCTTATGATTATCAACTTGAATGTAAAAATAACAGGAATAATTGAATAGATGTTAAATTCCATAGACCTACTGTGTACAATTAAATGCACAAGTTGCATTTTTAATACCTTCCTGTATTTTCCATCAATGTGCGGTCTATGCACTAAATCAAATGATAGTATTAACTTATTAGCTCAACTGGAATAGATTGACAAGTTGAGTCTTGGTTAAATCCAATGAACATTTTTAGGACTTTTAAAAAATGGTTAGTGCCCTTTGAAATGGTCAGGAGCACTGTATCATAGCTCTTGGGCCAGGTGTTTGATTCCAGACTGAGGTGGCTGCTGTGTGGAGTTTGCGTATTCGTCCATGTTTTGTTCCTGTGGGTTTGCGTGAGGTCTTCTCGATTCTTTTCACCTTCCTACTACTTCCTGGCTGGTTTAAGTAGCGTCTCCAAGTGTTTCAGTGTGTGTTCCCGTTGATGATCTGGCAACTCGTCCGGAGTCTTAACCCATCTTGCTACCTGTGTTTCGAGGGTAAGATATGAGGTGACCCTTATCAACAAATAGTGGCTTACTGGTAATGGATGGAGTTCATTTTTGTAGCAGTTTACAGTAGACCAAAAGTTAAACAGCAGCTTTTTGTGGTTAATCTTTGCAAGCTGAAAGGTTTATGAGAATTCTTAAACAATTCTGTGGAAGAATTCAAGTTCATTACTTTTGGTTACAGAAATTCTTGCTGCTTTTGACATCTGCTGCCGTGTTCACAAATCCAGATAGGTTTCATTATTTCATTGACTGTAAGTGCTAGAATTAATTAGCTTGTAACTGTTTAAATGAGAGCCTAAGCATAGCAATTAAATAATGAAGAGATTTATTAGTGCATAATTGCCAAATACAGCAATGTTAGCAACCTCTGTTTGGAGGGGGGGGGGTGTTTTATTGTCTTTCATGCCATTTTTAGACATTCTGCAGTGATTTTGCATTTTATTGTTCATCAATCCGTCAGTCATCGTCAGTTGAGCAAATGGTACAAAGATCAAGAAGTGTTGTGTGACAGGCTTAGCTGATGTCAGTGATGTTCACTGCAAAGTGGCACATACAGTATATGCTGCGGTCATCATCATCATCATCATATCTCACAACTTACAATTGTCAATGAGTAAAGATCTGGAAACAGTGGGGGGAAATAAGACATTTAAGAGTCTAGTAATGGATGGAGTGAAACCCAGAAGATACTGTTTAGTGACCCTGAATAATCAGCAATGGAATCAGCAGCCTGTATCTTCTTACGCATCTTCGCTTTTGTGAAGATTAGTAGTTTTTTTTAAGGACTGTCTGAACATTTTGAATTAATAATTAATTTAATATTGTGAAAACTTCAGGGGAATTTTGACAAAGTACCTCACAGGGGATTAGTTCTTAAACTAGTAGGAATTAGTGCTGCTTCTTGTAGTTGTATAGAGGAAAGATTTACATATAGGAAATTTTAGAGGGAAGGTACAGCTTTTCTCAGTGATGTGAGGAGTGTAGTCGCTCTTAAATTATCTTATAGCAAAGTTAGTCTTTTTCTCTGTGGAAGTTAGTCCACAGGGGCATTAGGATATAAATCTTGCAAATAACAGATTTGCTCATTTACTGGGATGGGTCAAGAGCTGAGAAGGTAGTGTCCAAGCCATGCATGTCAAGATTTGAAAAAACAAACATAAAACTGGAAAGTACCGTACAGTAGAAGTAGAAGTACAGAGAAAATAGACATTGGAAAGTACCTTAGAGTACTTTCACATTTCACATGAAGTAGTTATGAAGTTTATGATGGTCTTGTCAAATTAGGAAGTATTTGATGAGGGCATGTAGGCTTATTTCTAGTGAGTTGAGTTATTATTACAGGGAGGAGAAACGAGAGTTTTATGATTATTTAACAGAATAGCAGGCCTCAATAATGCATTTACATTAGATAATTATCGTGTAAAGAATATTTCCCAATATATAAATATTGCAATATACAGTTTATGAAATATTGTACCATACAAAGTATTGCTTTCATAAACAACTAAAAATAATATTGTCACACTCCCCTTTATAAAAATTCACTAGTGTTAAGGAGCACAGGCAATGTCTTTTGTATTACTGGGGTAAATGCATGTCATTTTCACCATATTTGTGAAAAGTAGATTTTGGTTCTTGATGTGAAACTGTGGATACAAATAAATAGGTTGTTGCCCAATCTTTAAACGTTGAACAGGATATATTTATATGAGTTAACAGTAAGACAGACCTTACCGTCAATTGTTTTAATAATATTATCTTGTTTAACCTCAATATTATGTAGTTTAAAAGCAATTTTATCTATTTCAAGTGCAATATTTTTCAAGACAGGCTTCCCTTTTTATCATTAATACACAGGAATATATATATATTTTTTTTAGGGTTGTTGAAACACTTTTGCAATCATCTTGTTAAATTGTGAAGGCTGTTAATCTTCACAAAACCTTTATACGCTGTGCTAGAATAATGTAATAGAATTTTACAATGCAAGCAAGTTGAGATGGGCAAAGTTTGCTCTTCTTCTCTGACTAATTCATCCTAGTAAAAAGTCTAGTAAGATGAAAGCTCATGATTTGACTCTTTAGTAAAGCTTTGCGAAGTTGAATTGGCACTATACTGTAGCGGTAGTAGTTAAGGTGGGGAGCTGCGTCAGCATGCGTAGGCTGCAAAGGAACAAGTAATAGGTTTATTCCATGCTGAAAAAAGTTTTCAGCATGGAATAAACCTATTACTGTTTCCTTGGCACTATAGTGTTTGTCCTCTACCTGGCTGCAGATTAATCTCGGTGATTGATCATGTACCAGTGCAGCGCTGGTGCTGTGAATCACAGGATGTTGCAAAATGAAGCAGAACTTCCTCATAATATTTTTGGCCTAGAATTTCTCCATTAAGCGGTGATGAGTAAAAGAGTGGATGAGTCATCTTTGGAGTGCCTTTCAGGTTAAGTGCTTCATGATATGATGGCCAAGAGATTTTATAAGGAACGTCTCTCTTCCATCATGAATTCAGAACCCTAGAAGCAGATGCTGGGTTTTGAGTTTTTTCCTGAAATGTTAATTTATGAGTCATGCCGTTGAATTAAGTTTTTACTTCATGGGCCTATTTTGAGTTATGTTATTCCGTTACTTTCAAGGACTTTTAGTATAGCCTTGAATCTTTTGTTTTATAAGCATCCATACTTTATAATGGTAGACGGTTTCTTTAAATATAGATTTTATTGGATTTTTAAAAGAAGTGCTATAATTGAGTCCATTTCATTTTTTGTCCAAATAGTTCTTTGTACAAAGTGAATTCTGGGGAAGTACTTGATTTTCCAACTGTATTAAGTGCTAAACAGGAAATCTCAAGTAAAGGCTTTCTGAGATCTAAAAACCCATTCTGTGTGTTTTTTAAATCTGAACTCCCTACCTGTAATAATAATCAGCACACACTCTCGGAAATTCAATATGTGAATATTAAGTGAACACTCATTAAAGACTTTTTCTGCTCTTGCATACAAAATTGCAAAGTAGATGGTTCGGAATTGTAGAGTTTTGAATCAGGAGTGAATCAGAGCACCTGGTAATAGAAATAACCTCTGAGACTGCTGGCTGACATGGTGCTATTACGTGCTTGGAATGCTTTGATGTGCATACTTTTACTTTCCATTGTCATCGAAATTTTTGAACGTTGTGACCAGTCATGCACATGTTCTCTTCTTTATTCAGGAGAAAAATCTTTTAATGCAATTTTTCACCATATAATAAGCTTTTGAAACTGTTATGGGTGGAATTGGCTCCGAGATTAATTGTGCTCACCCAGAGGACGGAAGAATGGTTCATTGCCCATGAAAACCCAAAAGTGTTTGAGAATATCACCACAATTGAGTTCTGCCTGCCCATCAGACTAAGGATCTCACAGGATCTGTATTAAGGAATACATTTCACAGCCCGCAAAAGAAGGGTTTCTGATGAGAGGAAGCGATTCACCCCTTCTTGCCTGTTGTGCAGGTAGGAGGTTGTTTATCCAAGGAACCGATCCAGACTTTTCTGAAAGAAGCCAGCAGATCGGCTGCAACGATACAACTGCGTAACTTGGTCCAGGCTTCTCGCAAGAAGTGATTCCTATTTTTGGTTTTCAACGCTCTTCCACAGAGGTTCTAGTTGTGTACTCTGATTTCGTCTTTTACTGTTGAATCTCAAAAAGTCACTGACTCGGTCAAAGCCCTTGAGGCTTTTGAACACATTGAACAGGGGTCCTTATAGTCTTCTCTGCTCAAGACTAAAAAGATTCAGGCCTTGGCCGAGCAGTGTAAGACATTCCTTTAAGCCTTGCTGGTTACCATGTGTCTGGTGGTTTTTCTCTTTAATGAGTCTACAGCAGGAATATACTGTATTTTCCATAATGTGGTGACCACAATTGTTCACAATACTATCAGGCTTTAATATACAGTATAAAACATAAAACATAGCATCCCTGGATTTAAGCTGTGCATTTCAAATGTATATCCTCCTATTGTTATGCCCTTTTTATTGCTTCCCAACATGGTCTATGTAAAAACAAAGTCATAATTAGCTTCTTTTAAATGGGCATTTCCCATTTTGTATTAATATATTAGCTTTTACCGCCTGCATGCAAATCCCTTCACCTGTCTGTATTCAAACTCATCAGCCAGGTGTTTCTTTGAATTTATGGTCAAATACCGAAAGACAAGTTTTTTCAGCAGGTTTATTGTATAGCTTTTGTGAAGGTTGCTGTCAATGCAAAAGCAAAAGAACAAGTTTAATCACGAAAGAATATTCTTAGACTTTTAATACTGGAGCAAATTTATTTTGGTATCCGTAATACAAAATAAATGGTTGGATGTGTCTGGTGAAAACGGAGGTGTTAATGAAAGGCCTAAATATTTTTGAAATGTGTTTTAAAGGTGAAGAATATGGCTGAATCGCAGGCTGTTGGGGTGGTTGTGTATGCCAGCCTTGGCAGACCAATACAGGACATGACTTGTGTTGGAATCGAGTGCTACACCCCACTGAGCATACCAGCTTCTATGGTGCATCTGCTGCCAGCAGTAATGAGCTCCTTGAGGTACGTTTTCAACATTTCTCCATCTATGCCAAAGAATAAATATTCCTTTATTTGAATATGAAAGGGCTAGACAAACATGTGCGTGTCATGGTGGCCCAGTGGTTGGCGTTGCTGGCTCGCAGCGCTGCGGGCCTGACTTCAGTTCCTGGGATGCTATCTGTATGGAATATGTATGTTCTCTCCGTGTTCGTGTTGGTTTTTTTCCTGGATCCTCCAGTTTCCACCCACAGGCCAAAGACGTACAGTGCTGGCAGTTACGTTGGCTGCTGGGAGAACTGGCCCTAGTGCGAGTGTGTCTGTGTGTGTGCTCTGCAGTGGAGGGGGGGAGGGGAAACTTTCAAATTCTGTATTCTTTTCCTGATAGGAATATTTTTAGGGATTTTGGGCGTCTTGCTTTTGTGATGGTTATGTTTCATTGCAGCAGCGCGTCTGAAGGGTGGTGGGTTTAAAATGCATGTCTCCAAATGTGAAACGTGTTGCATTAGTTTGAGTGCTTTATGCAGATTAATTTTACCCTTGTCCTTGGAAAGACTCGAGATATATTAACATCGCACATATATTTGGAGGAAGCCATTACCGGTGAAGTGAATTATCTTCAGCTGTTGGGAACAAGTAATTAGAGCTCATTTAGGATATTGCGCAAGGTGACTCACTGCGCCATTGGCAGAAATCACAATGCTCTTTTCTACGACGTGACACTGTTCCTCTTTAGGAGTTCGCGTCTCTTAAGTATTTGATAGATGAGGATTTGGTTTTCCCCACATATTTCATATGTTGTACATTATTACATTTGTGTGCTCCATCTATTTTTAATTACATTATCATTTTATTATTTACATTAATATGAAAAGAATCATTTTGTAAAAAAAAAGGTGGCTGGGATGTGTTAAACGTGCTGCTGGATTTGTTTGGTGGAATGGGAAATCGGGACAGGTGGAGAGTATGTTCATCAGGTTAAATGAGGAAAATGACAATTGCACTACTAAAGCCAGGATCATTTTGCTGATAAAATTCATTCACTGCTGGGTGTCAGTTACTGTCAGTCACGTGAATGAGTGCGACTGAAGCCAGAAATTACATAATTGCTGTTAATGGGTCTGGGTTGGTTTCATATGAATAGTAAAAAATAAAACATTTTTTATACAAATTATCAATAATTGTAGTTCTCATTAGATAATTTGATTTCAGTATGTGATTTTTTATCTTAATTATATACTATTTGGAAGAGGACTAGCTAATTATGGAATTAACTCAGAAGTGTTGCACTGTAGGTGGAACAGATGTGGCTAATTGTGAAAAATCAGTATTCCGCCACATTTTTCTTGTAAAATCAAAAAGAAATTTAAACAGTAGCAATAAATAGTTTATGTAAAATGTGAATTGTTTTGCTCTTCCTGATCAAATAGCCTTACTGAAAATGGAAATATCCCTCTAGTTCTCTTTTCAGATGAACTTTATGAACAGTCAGAAATTAACTCCTCTCTGTGGACAGCAACTTTCTGCAGGCCTCAGGATAAAGGCTCCTGCTGTCTTTTACATGATGGATAGGTATTGTTTGACCTTCAATAAAGTAACATGCAAATTTGCACTAGATTTAATCAGGGTTCTTTCACTATAATGTAAAACAGCATTACAAACACAAGCTTGGTTAAATATGCATCTAATTATGGAAGAACAGTGTATACTTAGCTTCTTAAAATAAAGTAGAAGACAAAGTTCAATACATGAGTAATTTATGCTTTATCAGGCTCCGTTTAGGCCTTAAAATAAGATTTATCTGAAACATGCTTTGAAACTCAATATACACACTGCTTTTAACAAATATTATTTTTATGAAAATTGGTTACTGCGAAGCTTGTGAATTGTTATCCATATTTTGAATATCAAAAGCCAACTTCCAAACCTGAAGAAGGGACATGGAGAAATATTTCAGAACCTCTTCCAGATGTGGACAGTGAAGAGGAAGGTGTTGTACGACTCATTTCGGATCGAGTGTTGGCATCACATTCCACTCATTAGTGTGGGGGACGACCAGCACAGACCCTACGGAGTAGCACCAGAGATGTGTTATACAGTTCATCGCTTCCTGCTTTGTGCTCGGCTCTCTCGTGTGTGTGTGCTTACTTTTCGGAAGAATATATGTGGTTTGGACTTTATCATCAACCCTAAAGATGTTAAGCACACAAATATTATAACTGTATGTAACTACACAAAAAAGCAAATGCAGTGGTTACTGTACTTAGGTATGATTAATGATATCTAACTAGATCAGCAACGTTTTTATCACTAAAACACAAACCACGTTATGAATGTTAGTTATTATTGTTTTTTGGTGAAAAAAGTAAAAGTAGATGTGACATTATTGGGGGCTCGGAACATATTGTATTTTTCTTGCTATTTAGTGTTTCATTGCCTGCGCTGGAAAGTTGTATCTTCTTCCCAATTAAGAAAAAGCCAATAGAATTATGTGACACTCTTGTGCTCTTTGCTCTTATAGTTAATGTAGTGAAACACATATGAAATTACCCAAAAATAAAACAAATACTATACTCATTCCTCACAATTATTCCATGATCACACATACAGTTTGCTTGACTATACAGCAATAGTAGCAGTTTTGACTTTGCTATTCCAATACATTTGGAGAACACTTTGTTTTTTACAGAAGGATACACTTCCGTTATTCCAGGACTTGCAATGTCAATATGAGTTCCCTGGCTTTTCTTCGTTTTTTTGCTTACGTATGTATTCTGCAGTGTTCACCCTAGGTGGGAGCGATCTACATTTCTACAAGTGCACATTTGGGGGGGAAAATGAAAGGATTAGCTTCCACTTGTCTGTTTTTTTTTCCTGCAAAAGGCTTAATGTTAATACAGTATTTAACAGTCATTACTATTTGGAATAGGGATTTGAATATTGTATATGAAGAAATGTCCTTGGATAATTCATAATTTTATTCCAAATAAAATCCAAAAGGAAAGAATTCATGTTTCAACACGTGAAGTGGTAATAGTCACAGACTACTTAACAATATTTTCATTTTAAGATTTAAGTAACATCATTTCACAGTATGAATAACATTTTACATGATTTTACAGTTAGCAACACAGTTAAAATTGTAAGTTGTTATATTGTTTCACAAAATGTTAATTTTATAACGTGGAAGTGGATTGTAAGGATTCCTTTTGTGACAAAAGTACCTGTGAAATATTTCAGAATGTAAGTATTTGATGTTCATCAGGAAGAGCAAGTGTGCCTAGAAGTGGGTTCCTGCGGCAAAACACTGCTTAGATCTTCCCAAACAGAACTTGTGCCCCTCAAGATGATGCACTGCTTCCTGTCTGTTAACCAGTTCTTCATGCATGTGCAGATATTAGCTTGGATTGCTATAGCTTTTCATTTGAGAATCAAGCTTTTATGATGGACCTTATGAAAAGTATTTGCAAATCTAAATGTATCATTGCACATACACTTAGTTTTATAGTTTTATCTACTATTTGTATTGCTTCTTTGAAGAATTCTAGCAAGTTAAATTAACAGGACTTTCCCTGTCTAAATCCCATGTTTTCTGTCGCTTGAATGCCTTTGTTTTTAAGTGTTTGTCACATTTAGCTGTTTTTTTCCTAACTTTACCAGAGATAGAAGTATAGTTCAGTATTCATCTTTAAAACTAGATTGAACTGCTTTGATTGGCATGTTTGGTTAATAAAGGGGCACTATGTCTTTACAAATGATATTGTAAAACCGCGCCTTCAGTGTGGGTGCAGTTGATTTCGTGAACGGTTGAATTTAGTGTAACAATCCTTTCATAATCTGAAAGGGCCAACATGCTGTGCTGTTACATAGCAGAATAAGGTCAGAACCCTGCCTTGTCCTGAATAAGATTTTCATAGCTTTGTTCTCTTTTGTAGAAGCAAGAAGCAGGTTAATGTTTCTTTCCAAAATACTCCATCACCCAACTTCTTCTTCGGGATCGACCATGAAGGGAAACTCGCAGAAATGGGGTGGTTTCTCTATCCAACTTTCAAGTTTCTTACCTGGCAGTCTGAGTGGTAAGTGTGGAAAATTCAGTCAAATTTCATGTTAGAAAGGCTACAGATGAAAGGACTTCAGCTGTGTGGTTGCTAGTTTAAATGCTGTTGTAGAAATGTGTGCCAGACAGGCTACAAGTTTGCTCAGAAACCCCCTTTACTATACGTCAGAGCATATGTAATTAATGCAAGTATTATTAATTTAGTGTTATTTTAAAGTTCTTTTTGTATTGGATCCATACTACATTTTTTAAAGTCTGGTGTGCAAATTCTGTTAAGTGTTTTGGCCATTGAATTGTTTTAGCCTTTCTTAGCCCCAGACATCATTCATCAAACGGAGACATCAAGTAGCGCAGAAAACACTCAGGAGAATGCTTGTCTCTGATAGAGTGTCTAAATTACCAGGAGACAGAAATGCTACTGGGCCTCCGCGGAGAGTTAAACACATGTTTTATGACTCCTTCCTGATGCAGGAGGCAGTATAAGTTGGGAAAATTATTTCTTGCACTGAGGAGGTGGTAGAACGCCGTTATAAATTTTGAATTCAGCTTGGAGAATTCCTGTGCCTTCAAAGCAGCAGCTATTTTTTTTTCTGTGAAAAGCAGAAATGTACATAAAGTAGATACATTTCTACCTCTTTCCAGTAGCCCTTTAAAATCTTCACCTTTGAAATCCGTGTATGAAGTATTAAATGAGAGAGGTGATAAGGTATTGATGAGATTGTGACGATGTTTTGCTTACAAGAGGAATGTACAATGTTCTTGATCAAAAGCTGCATTTGAAATTGTGGATGGGGGGGATAATGATGATAATGTCTCCCAGCTCTTCGGTTCTGTGATTCATTCTGGCATGGGGCACCCTTTTTGTAGAGACTATGTTCACCCCATGTCCTTGTGTATTTTCTCTGACTGCACAAGCTTCCTCCAACAGTCCAAACATGTGTGGACCAGGTTAAGTGGCATCTCAGAAGTGTGCGCACGTATTTGTGCGTGTGTGCATGCACACGTATGTGTGTGTACACTTGCGTGCTTTTGCCTGTGTGTCCGGCGCAGTCGAGGGCTGTAAAGCCCCTGAGAGTTCTGGGCCAGTTCACCACAACCCTCTAAGGATAAAGAGTCTTGGAAATGGTTGGGTGAAATTTACAGTCTTGCACAACACGACATGTAGAAAAAAAGCCTGGCAATTAGCAGCTGAATGGAGATATAATCATACATCTTGCTAGAGATCAGTTACTGTAAAGTGTGTTCAGGGTGAACCTTTTCTCTTCGTTTTTCCCCTCTTCCATTAGGTTTGATTATGTTAAGCAATTATATGGAAAACTTCAGAAGCCAGCTCGGGCCATCACTGTGTTTAATCATACTGTAATGCAAGGGGAAAATGGAACTGTGACAACTGTGGAACTTCCTAAAGGTAGTTTCTGTTCATACGTGATTTTCCTATCTTAATGTTTATCATCATTACTTTGTATTCATATGTATGTGTATTGTTATTGAGAACAGAAAATGTAACTTTGGAGTTTTTTATATTTTTGAAGTCCTTGAGTGCTCTGACAATAAGATGAACTGTAGTCGCTGATTCTTTTCAATGATCCAAACTGAACATATGCTGTACATGTTCAAATATGTCTGTCACGTGCCATGTCTGAAACAAAATGGAAATTAAGCAGAAGGTCAGCTTCTGAATGGCATTCAATAATCTTTATCAAAGACTAGTGTCTTTTAGTGTTTATGGATAAACCAATTGAAAGCTCTGTTTCCTGTGTGCCGAGAAATGGTGAAAAATGGAGACCTTTTGTTGTTGTTTTTTCTTCAGCAGCGTCGGTAGTTATGCAGCCTAAAATATGTAACCTTGTCTGAAAAGTGACTTTGTATTCACACTTCTAAATCGGCTTTTGATAGTCCCTTTTGCCTTCTAGAATAGAGCCGTTGTGGGTTTATAAATCCCACAATTAAATATTTGTTACAATTTCTTACTTTCCTGTCACTCTTGCGCTCTGTGCAGTTTTCAGACTCTTAATAGAATCTAAGCAGCCATTGTCACTATCTAGCTCTAATGTGCAATGGAATGTTCTTTGATTGTTCTTACTAATAATTGTACCTTAAACACTTGGCGTGGCATTGAATGTGCTCAACGTCCTTGTACTGCATCGGTTTCTGTGTAAGGATTTCCACAGTCCTTCCATGACACCACTTAATTAATCTAGCAGAACAAAAGAGCAGGCATTGAGTGAAAGATTCATTAATTACTAATATGGAAGAAAAGATGCATCCTTTTTCAGTCCACTTTATCAGAAGGTTTTCAATTCGCAGTATGCAGGTGTACATTTAAGGGGGGCCGGGGTTTTTTTTAACTGCTTATGGAGAGTTGGTTGAATAACGTCAGGTAATATTGTGTTGATTCATTAATGTTAATATGCATGCATGACAGGAAGATGACTTATGAAGGATGTATTTTAGAAAAATTCTATGTTTTGTGTCAGAAGTATCTTAATAACATGTTTTTCCTCATGAGCGTCATGGAGAAATAAACTTCTTCTGGTACCATGTCACCAAATCAACAAAGATGTGGTTATTGGCTTCTTGCTCTTGCTTTATTTTGACTTTCCATGGCCTTAATGGAAAAAGGTCACAATGTCTCCTAGTGTTGACAAAATTGTCTTTGATGCAGGCCTGTCTAGAAATCAGCAGCCTCTGTGTACATTGAATTGGGGCTGAAGGTGAAATTGGTAGCTGTTAAAGGAGGCAACCACATATCCTGCAATAGGTAGCGGTTCAAGGCTAGGATTTACGATCTAGGCTGTGTCAAACTCGAAATGCTTGACAGGGGTCAGAGAGGAGCTTTTATCGCCTGCATGTTTTTTCCTGGATGCAGGGAAGCATTTGAATAGTTATAGACTGAGGTTGAGAATAACATACCCAGTGTTTTTCTTTTACCTTTTAAAAATAACTAATAAAGAAAACTAAACCTTTGATCACATTAAGATACAATTTTACTTCAAATCAAATTGTGAACCGGAATTTATTCTCAATGTTGCATTTTGTTAAAGGATTAAAGGTTGTGTTAACCCTGGCCTTCTCCGTACACTTGGATGTCAGCTAGATTTTCATTTCCTCAGTTTTTTGTGTTGCTTTTCAGCAGCCACCCTGTGTGGATCGAGTACTCTTCCCAGCCACGTTCCAGCTCTCTCCTGCTCAGCATTTAGAGTTCCAATTCCCTCTTTTAGTTTAGTGGATTTTCAAGTAAAATTCAAAACCCTGACCATTTACTTTCCTTGCTTTTTGGGGGGGGTGCGAATTTCAACGCATCACACTCATTTGCGGTTTAAATAGTTACGAACTGACCAGACACGCTTGTCTTCCTTTTCAGATTTCCTGGCCTCTGATTCTCTGGAGCTGGACGCTTCACTGTCTTGCCCAGGCCTGAAAGATGAGACCTGTGCACCCTGGGATCATACGGTGCAGCTCTATGTCTGCTGTGATGGTCTCAGTCAGCTCTGCAACCTGGAGCTGGGGCGCTGGATCACTGCGTTCCACAGGTACTGTCGGGAGGAGCTGAACGGGGTCCCCCTGTGCTCTCAGTGTCCTGGCAGAAATCCCCAAATAGGTGCTTGCAGGCTAGAAACCTCCTGCCTATAAGTCATGCATTTTATTGTGCATCATTTAGTATGCATGTAGTATTGCATTTTATCTTGTGTCTGCAAGCTAAGGCTGGTGTATTAGTTTGAGTTAGTTTTTCAATGATGGCTGTGTGCTGCTCTTAGCACAATTAAGACCAAGAATACTAGGTGCAGAGTACTTTTTCAAGCACTTAGTGCAGTGATTTTTATGAAGTTGTAGCTCAAGGCAGATAAGAGTAACAGAGCATTTGCAAAATAGTGCTTACATGCTCTGGTTTTAAGGGGACTTTGTGCCACAAGCATATTTATTGATTATAACATTTGGCATAATTTAAGGCCGGCCTCTGATGACCATCAGGTGATCGATTTGAGCTTTTTCCATTATTGTCTCCTCTGAGACTGGTCTTGCCGACACCCACAAGTGTGCGGTGTGCCCTTCAGTGAATGGCAGGTGTCTTTTGTTTTTAAATTACGTGGGCGTATTCGTGTGTGGCGGTGTTTTAGTGGGGGAGGGTTCTGCAGCTCTACTATCTTGTGTGGGGAAAAATATTCTTTGTTCACCCGTGTTTCATGTGTGGAAGTATGACTCATGACCAGATTTTACTCTAGAACAGAGAGCGATTTGACTGACTGGCATTACCGCTGCTAAGAGGTTGGTAGCTCGGCTCTGGGGACCTCTGCCTTCCCCTTTCGAAGCCCCAGTTGGCCCTTTCCGTGATTGACATTGTACACGTGGTGTGTCGCGACATGGGCATTCTCGTCCAGGGAGTGGTGGAGAATGTCAACAGAGCCTTGTTGACCCTGCTCCTCAATGCTGCTGTCTGATGAGATGGTTGTTTTACCTCCTGGAAAGCATCAGGGAGTTCAAATTAATGTGAGGGACTGGCAAACTGTTTTTCTCTGTTGTGTTACCGTTTTGTATAATTTCCTTTCCAAATAATTTTCAAAAATTACAGAAAATTCCATGTGAGTGAGGGAGAGATGCGTGCACGTCTAATTTAATAAATAAAGTCAACGATTACCATTTGAAAAAACAGCATTTTCTGCACGACAAAGAGAATGTCAAAAAATTCTTTAGAGATGTGTGGGGCTGGATGCTTCGTGAAAACTCACAGTGCTAGAATACACTTCTTCTTACTGGTGTGATGTGTGGCACACAAAATTGCAGGTCTTAATAGCAGTGTTAATGTTCAACGCAGTAATTACTTTGTGTGTGACAAACAGTACCAGAAGAAGTTATGTAACTGTAATTACTGTATAATTTGCATTGAAATGATGAATAAAAACTGGCAAATTGCTCATCAAAAGACTTTTAATATATGGATTCCAAACTGTTCTCAAGCTTTTTGTAAAAACGGGGAAAAACATTTCTTCGTTTAAGAAGAAGATTCATTTAATGTTCATAGTTTCCATATATATTCTTTAAAACACAGTGATTTTCAAATAATTTGGTGCTTTGAAGGTGTGATTTGTTTGCGCTTTCCATGTAGTTTTCTACTCTGCGTAAGAATTAAGTTGATATCATTAATTGCAGTAGTCCGGAACTACTAAAGTGTTCTTTATACACTACCTGTATCCTCCAGTCTTTACAGTTTCAACCTGTGCACAGTTGAATGCTTCCTTTCAGCATTCCACATTATCTAGCCTGAATAACAGCACATGAACAAACGCAGGGTCAGTAACCCTCACTGATGTGTATTTTCCTTCTTCAGATCTGGAGAATTTGCCATCCAAGCTTACAAATGCTTTCAGTTCTTAAACCTCTCCCTGAGCTGCTTTTCTTACAGAAACTGTTGATTAGAGAGAGGGAGGACAGGCTATCCCGAAAAATCTTTTGGATTCATGATTGCAGAGTATCAGACATGTTAAAGTTTTACTTTGGAAATAGTTGAGTGATTTTGAACAAAATTTAATAACTGAAGCAAAGAAATTAATTTCACAAGTTGTAGTTATCTTCCATATATAAGCTACCAGACTACGTTTTTGTTTTTGTTTTTGAACTTGGTGAAAACTTCAATAGAAATCCAGTCTATAAAAATAATTAAGAATGTTATGTTATTTTGAACATTATGGTTCCGAACCTAAATTAGGGTAAAATTGCACTTTTGTACTTACATGTTGACTGCTTAAATGCAATTAAAATATTGCACTGACAAATAAATTGGTTGTCAAGATAAATATTTTACATTTGTATGGGGTGCTTTCACATCTATATTCTACCATGAAATACTTTAATTTCAGTGTCGGTTTATATTTTCATATTGGGATCCTATTTGGTAAGGGTATTTCATACCTGATTTGTTTGTGTGGGGAATTCAATTTCTTCCCCTTGTACAGTCCCGGTGTTTGTCATTTCCCATACTGTTAGGGGTGAAGTTTTGAATTAATATGGGCCATAGTAAAGCAGTGCACTTGAGTGTCAGGAGAATGTGTTGTTTAAATTTGAATATTATTCAACAGTGTATTCAATCCATGCAAAGAGAACGTAATGAAAACGGGATATGGTAATATAGACGGGCTCCTAAAGGCATTAATGGGAATCCTCCTTCTCCCATGGGAGCTACAGAAGGCTGAAATGAGCCCTGTGGAATGTAAATGAGAGCAGGTTGATCAGCAGCTGTATTATATACAGCACCTCCACCATGATGGAGAGACTTTCACATCTACAACAGAACACGGGTCTGAAATATACTTCCAGAAAGAGGATTCAATGCCTGCAATGATTAAGGTGCAATGTATATATTTTCCCAGTTTTATTTTTATTGCTTTGTGCAATATCAACATTGTATTTTTAAAATTGGAGATCTTTCTATTTGTGGTGGCACAGCACAGTATGTTTATAAGAAATTAAGCCGATTGTTTGTTAATTTGCCCATTGCTTCTCTAAGGAAGCTGTCTACCTTGTATACTGTGTTATTGTTGTCCCACTGGGGAAAAATCTGTTTCCTTGAATTATCTGCCGTACTGTCTAGTTCTCACTATGTGCAAATGGAATACCAAGTTTGAATTCCAGCTGTCTTTGTATTGTGTTACCGCATTGCTCATGAGAGTTCAAATTAAAATGAAAGTACAATATAGAATTGTTGTAGGGTTTTTTTGTGTGATCTTCTCTCTTGCTTGAATTGAAGACCTTTTCTAATTGCCGTACTTTTTTTTTTGTTGTCGAACAGGGGCATTGGGCGTTGGTTGACTGATGTGTCCCCATTAATGCCATTGCTGAACAGCACCAAATGCACTTTCTCAATGAAAACCGTGCCCTGGGCAAAGCCTTGGGTAGCGTCCCTTAATCTTCGCTTCGGCAAAAGCAGTCATTCGGATTTCGGTAAGGTTCCTGGCTTCTAAAACGGGTTGCTGTGCAATGTGCACTGTTTGGTTTTTCTGAAAAGTTTTATATTTGCATTTTATTTATATGTAGTGCCTGTTTGTTTTTTTTTTTTATATTTGCGATATTGCTGCTCTAGACTCTCTCCAGAGAAGAGCAAAGAGGTATTGATACAAGTATCCATCCTTCCCAGTGGATTTCTTCAGAATGAACAGTGCAACACCAACCACAGGGCAGAAGTAAAAACTACATGCAAGTGCATTTAAAACCACGAACGGGGGGGCACTTTTTTACCCAAAGGGTTGTAAGTGTGTTGACCAAGCCTCCAGCTTCCCTGTTGCTTTATGATACACAGGCTGGGTCAGGTCCTAGGATCCAGGTGGGGCTGCACATTGGTGGTGATGGAGGGGAGTCCCCATTACCTGTAAAGTGCTTTGAGTAGAGTTTCCAGAAAAGCACTATATAAGTGTAAGCAATTATTATTATTATTATTATTAGTAGTATTAATTAATAACTAACTACCAAACAGGCCGAGTGGGCTTCACGTCCTGCTCAGATTTACAAAAAAACGGACCTAATGTTTCAGTGCTGGTGTAGCAGGGTTTCGTGAGATTGAAGGTGTTGTAGAAGCGCCGTCACTCCCTTGAAACCAAGACGGTACAGAATTCTCCCACGGTACCTGACCCAGTCCTGCGGACTCATGATGTTTGCAGCTGTGTAGCGAGTGGAGCTGTGTGGCGCTGAGCCCATGAGCAACTGTGGTCAAAACAGTGAAGCCAGCTGATAAATAAATATGTAGACCTATGTTTTATAGTGTTATTCCTTTAATTGTACATCTCAGAAGATTTTTTATCTTTCTCAACATTTCTGTTGAAGAGAAATTGAAATTCTACTGTATAATGTGCTTTTTTCCATATTCAAATATTACATCATTTGCATGTATTATTAGATGTAAATTTAGCCTAGTATTTAATAATCCAGACGGTTTTGGATTGAGTTAGATATGTAATAAGAGCACAGACTCACAAGAACAAAGGCGGCAGTTTGTTCTGGCTCCAATATAAATAAATTGATGCCTTTTCGGTGCACAGAGAATAAGGCAAATTGCTTTGCAATTTAGAGCACCAGTTTACATAAATAATTTTCTTTTATAATGCAATTATAATGTCAGTGATAACTCCAGGCAGAAGTTGGAGTAAAATTAAATTCTCAATTTTCATACTTAAGCTTTAATGGATTGATGTTTTTTATGAGCTATTATGGGATGGGGGAGTGGGGTTCACTTGTCTAAAGTTGCAGTAAAACTGAGGTAGAAAACGTTAGGAAATCTTGCTTCTTTAGATGAAGTCTTCTCACTCTTGCTAGAGTCTCTGTTTCTGCGATATCTTTTGGTAAGGAGGGCAGATACAAAACGGGGGTTTTCACCACAGTGTCTCACTTCTCAGTTTCACTTCTGCCCCGCCAGATGTCATTTCAATGCTAAGATTGTCTTCTGAAATGTGCAGCTATTTGTTTACTGTGCGTTTAGTGAAGTGTCGTGTTCCTGTAGAACAGGATATCGGCATGCTTTTAGTTGGATGGAGACCAGTATAAACACTAGTGAGAACTGAACCCCCCCCCCAGGGGAATTAAGGAATATTAATGCTGTGTTGGAGTTCTCTGGCTGTGGATACCAATACACAGAACACATTTTGGTCATGTGCAAAGGATGGCAGTAATTCCTGGATTGTGTAGTAGTGGCACAGTGAGGAGAACAATTCTGTACTGAGCCCCGAAAGAAATGTATCTCTCTATGCATGCATTTTTGGCAAAATAAAATGTACTGTGTAGTTCTGGGATAATGATTAAATGTTTTTGTCATTATTTTGATTAACTGGTTACTCATGACTGACTGCTGAGGAAGCCCCGAATCGCCTCGTTAGGAAGAGAGTTGATTGGGCAGAGGTGTTGGAGTGAACTAACATGTCGAAAGTCAAGGATGCCAAAAGTTGAACAAGAAAAAGCCATCACCTTTGTACCAGTGTTATGCTGGAGGTTAGACTAAAACACCTCTCAACCAGAGCAGTCTAGTCCTTTCTTGAATAAATCATGGTGTCTATTTTTGAAAAATGTCTTTATCCTCTGTAAATTAAAATAAACCATTGCACTATGATACAATTATTAGATGTTAAATGTATACTGAGAGACTAATTGTTCCAATACTTTATTTTTTATTGCCTCTCAGTACATTTCGCTACATAGAATAACGTTTTGTCATTTTTTGTTTTCTTAGCTTGGGTTTATTTCAGGATCGCTTAGTGATGCAGCATCTGTACTAGTCTCTTTTTCTAAAGTGTCTCTGTTTTTTTTTTTTGGTACAAACACATAAAGCTCACAGTGCAATGTTTTGGATGAGCTGTAGAGACAATCCCCAAACCACAGCCACTCTGGCTCATCTGTATGCGACTACAAGCAGCAGTTTTGGATTAGTCTTCCCTGCCATTCTCGTGTCCTTGAACGTCTTTCCTACAGAAATATGTGCTGTGACGTGGTTTTCTCAAAGGCTGCCTTAAATTCTTCTCATACACTGTCTAGTGAATAATTTCCTCTTGGTTACTAGTTTGTTAGCATTTTAGTACGAGTCATATGATCATGGGTCAATAAGGTTTTATTCCTTTATTGTCAATTAAGAATAAATTATCATTTACAATGAGGACCTGGAGGCGCATTTCTGCAGTAATTTGAATATTGTCCAATTATACAGCACGTTTCTCCAGTGGGGGATCCCTTCCAAATGGCTCTTTGTTGGTTAAATGTTAAATATAAAACATGTAAAATGCTATGTAGATTTAAAACTCAGTGACTTGCAAAACAGCAGGGTGGTACATGTTCCTCATTTCAGTATAGCTGTTAGAGGCGTTCGTTCATCAAACCATGTGTGCTGTGATGTAGTGTACATACCCTTTGGTACTGTTTAATGGATCTACAGCACAGTCATTTACTGCCTTACCAGGCTGACTGGGTTTTCAGTGATGTGTTAAAAGGCTTGTGTGCAATGATGGTAATCAAGATTCAGTCTCTGGACCAGACTGTCTCCTTGTCCAATTTCACAAGAAGTTTCTCACAGTTTAGCTGGTGGTTACAGGAAAACATGGCCTGTATTTGTCAGTTAGGTCTCTTGTCTCACAAATTCCAGGTTTGTCTCAGCCTACATTGCCTGTATTCTGGGATAACAGAATTAGAAAGATATACATCCAGAGCACACTTTCTCAGAACCCTACCCTTTTTCAAAAGTAGTGGAGATGCCAAAGTTTCTTATAAAGTGCATGTGGGTTGTAGAAAAACAGCAATGCTTCCCATTCTAAGTGATTTTACATTTTACTGTGTTTGTAATCATCTTATAAATAATGGAAGTTGTACTGCGTATCTTTAACTAAGCTTGTGCATTTCATATGTTATGAAAAAAAAATGAAATTAGTATGATAGCAAGGCCTTCTCTAATATATGTTTCGTGAAGTAACATCTGATGAATATTAAGAATTGGAAGAAATTTACGTTTACAACACAGTGGATGATTCACCCTGTCTGGAGAGTGGCGCAGTAATTAAATTATTTTGTGAGACGTCTTTGCAGATCAATTCTCAGATAAGGAAATGTACGATGGAATTTACTGTACAGCCAGAGGCCAAAGACAAGTGCCTCCCTTGTTAAACCTGGGCAAACAGGTAAAATAACGCAGGAACCAGTTAGACAGGGCTTTAAGCCTGTAGATGCATTCAGCCACACAGGAACTCTTGCAAATATTCCAGATACAAAATTTTCATTTTTCATTAATAAATTTAAAGAATTTGGATTAATCTGTGTTTGTGAGCTTACGGCCTGTTTTGGGGTTCATGTCCTATTGTATTGTACAAACTTTGTTTTTTAATTTATCAAAGCATAATCAGTTGTCTCTTAATTTGTTGTTCATATGTATGTACTATTTTGGCTTGTGAGACAGGAGCACTTTACTTCCTGCTTTGTCTTTTTTAGGGTCTTGGGGAAGTCTGCTTTGAGGTCCGGTCACGAGAGTCTTGGACAGTAGATTTCATGCAGGAAACCTAAATGTAATTTAAAGCATATGCCAGATGTTAAAGAATGATGAAAGATACAATGAATTATCCTAATTAATTAATTAATGGTGTTAGTGAACATTACTCTAAAAGCCCTCAATTGGTTAGAATAAGTATGTATGCTAAGAAGAAAGTGTATAATATTGAGGCACTGAATTACTGTAATTGGCTTTTGTCAAGGGAAAAGTGAGCATTAAAGTGTTTTATTGCAGAAATTGGATCCATTATATGAGCAAGTTTGCAGAAAATTCAGTACAGTTAATTATCTTTGGCAGGTTCTTAATGTTTAAAAATAGGTTTTAGTGTTGGTTTTGCTGAAGACGATTATTTCCTCTGAAAAGAAATGTTAGCCAGGGCACAAGAAAACCTTCATTTCCTCAGTGCTTCCCAGTTAAAACTGCTTTAACCCTTACCAGTGTCTGTTGGTTTGAGAGAGGGCATCACTTGGCCCTGAACACATTCGTAAATGCAGTTTAGCTTTGGAGGTTGCGGTTTGTGTTCCTAGAGTGGCAGGCCACAAGTTTGTCCTAATAAGATGGCATTAAAATAATGACGCCCTCTATTGTGACACTCCAGTGCAGAAGCTTTAAAAAGATTTAGACCTAAAGCAGCAAATATCAATGAATGAATGTCGAGAGTCTTCGTGTAAAAAAAGAAAGTGTTTTCCAATCAAGCCGTAAAGGTTCACTGATATTTTAAGCACGGAGTGATTTATCTGTGAACTATTGGGGGGAGGGGGTTGTTAGCATGCAGCACCTGAATGCGAATGGCTCCCTTTAAAGGTTTTATTGCACACTTGGTGCACAAGACCCGAATGTGGAAAAGGTAACATGAAAGCCGAGTAATTATACGGATGACGGTTTCAGCGATGCCATTACTTTCACTACACTACCTGTGCTCTCTGAGCGT